CGGGGTGGGTCCTCGGGGCGGCCGGGTCCCTCGGGGCCAAAGCAGCCGAACCCCGGGACCAGAGCGAGACTGGGGCTGTGGCATCGTCAGGAAAGAGCTGATTCAGAAAAACTCTTTATAAAAATAAAGGTGGGAAAATCAGCTCTAGTGGCTGTTCTCGGCTCCTTGTGAAAACTGTGCCTTCGGCCGAAAGGACGAGCAAGGTCTGAGATTAGTGCGTAGACGGGCGTCCTGCGCGCCCACCCCAGGGCCTGAGGCTGCCGTGTGGGTCCCCGGGGAGGGCGGCAGGGCCCCGGGGTTGCTCTTTCCTGTCCCATCGTTAGCGCTGGTTCACCTCCTGTGGACACTGTACCAGGTGACGGGGCAGCACCCTCCTCAGTGCAGGGGGGCCGCTCAGGCCAAGCTCGGGCTAGCGCGAGGCGAACCCCCCCCGCAAGCGTGCGCCCCAACCAGGGGGGAGTCAGTGCTTACGAATGACGACGGGCCGGCCTTCATTTCCGAGGCTGCTGGGCTGAAACGAACCCCTGAAAACGCCGCCTTTCCGGGGAGGCGGATCTGCGTGGCGTGCACATAATTTCTGACTCAGGTCCACGCTTAGCACACGGGGGTTTCTGCCGACCGGTTCCCCTGTGTGAAGAAATTCTGGAACTGACATTGAATTCCATTTTGCTGAATTCTCATGTCCCCTCAATTAAAAATATATATATATCTTTATTGATTTTGGAGAGAGGAAGGGAGAGAGAGAGAGAAACATCGATGAGAGAGTCATTGATCGGCCGCCTCCTGCAGGCCCCCGACTGGGGATCGAGCCTACAACCTGGGCCTGTGCCCTGACCGGGAATCGAACCTTCAACCTCCCGGTTCCTGGGTTGATGCTCAACCGCTGAGCCACACCGGCCGGCTGCTTGGGACGTTTAAATGGCACAGCTCTCCCGGGTGGCTTGGACCCCAGGGGCCACCCCGAGCCCAGGGAGAAATACGCTGCTTGTGCCACTTGCGTCAACTGAAGGGAACCCCCCGAAGGCCTCCTAAGATCACGTTACCTCCTGTGCTCAGCGTGGGGTCAGCTGTAACCTGCCCCCCCACCCCTTCCCCCGTCAGGGAGGCTGAGCCGTAGGTTCACGGCTCTCGGGTCAGACTCATGTTGTTCGAACCCCTTTTCTTGCCATAGTATGAAGTTCGTGCTTCATAATACTCTGGGAAAGTCTCTTCCCGGGCGAGGTCGGCATCCACAGAGCCCTGAGGACACAACAGACTTTCAGGCTGAGTGCAAAGCCCTTGTTTCCACGGACCCGGGGCCACGGGCTAACTACACGGGTTCCCCCGGCTCCCTGGATGTTCCAAACACACCACAGCTTTTCCTTCTCTCGCCGCCAGTGAGGCTCCGCACCAGCTCCTCCCTCCAAAGAGCTCCTTTTCTTCTTAACTCGTTTACAATTTTATTGTTTTTGGGTATCGAATGTTTTATTTTTTGTCGTTTTCAGTTGCAACCCAAACCACGTGCTACCTGAGCAACTCAGAGGATTAAAAAGTGGGTTTCAGCCCAGTCAGCGTGGCTCAGTTGGTCGAATGTCGACCCAGGAACCAAGAGGACCCGGGTTGGATTCCCCATCGGGGCACATGCCAGGGTTTCGGGCTCGATGCCCCGTAGGGGGCGTGCAGGAGAAGGCCGATCGATGTTGACGTTTCTCATGGATGCGTCTCTCTCTCACTTCCTCTCTCTCTAAAATTAATGAAGACATATTTTTAAAAAATGGGTTTGAACTCAGTGTGTACGATGCTCTGTTTGAGTGGATGGAAACTCACTCATTTCGTCTGCAGGCCTGAGATTCAGTCCAGGCTCCCTCACAGCTGGATCAAGGATACGGGGCAAACTAGCCGGGTCCCTGGAGGCCAGTGTGCAGAGCTGGCCCCTCCCTGCCCGTCGGGAGGGTGGAGCAGTGGATGAGCGAGAGCTTGTAAACGAGGGGGCCTGTGCATCCCGAGGGGAGCCTGCCTCCGGGCTCTGCTTCCTTTCCTTCCATGAGTGACCTCCTCTGTGGGCCCCCGTCTCCCACAATTGTTCTCAGAGCCCCATGGTAGGGATGGCAATGACCTCTGGTAGAGGAGGCTCGGCCTGGCCAGTGTGCCAGTTTTTAACAGATGGAGAGACAGTAATGCTTTGTGATTTATTCAAGCACTAATTATTTTTGGACAACTTCCCCAGGTCCTTTCCCTCGCTGAATTCTTGTGGCCATGTATCCTGTTCACGATTCTGATAGTCCTTCGTGTTCAAGAACCTCCCAGACATAGGGACAACTGTAAGTGTCACTTTGATGACAAACCTCCAGAGGAAAAGTGCAGCACTCTTTCTTCTGTCCTTTAGAAACGCTGAGTTCTGAGCAGGAGGCCTGGGCAGGGTTCCGCTGTAATATCACGATGGCTATAGCTCTGGGGCATGTGTCTGTGAGCATCGATTTACATTTTTTCCTTTTAGGAATAATATTCAAAGGTAGATTTATTCTCCTAAAAAGTTGCCTCAACGTGGGCACCGGTATGTGTGCCATTTATAGGGACAGAAAGAGCAGAGGAAGAGGTAAAAGGTGGATGCACATCAGCTCACCCACCTGGTACTGATGGTGGTGATGAAGGAAAAGGTGATGATGGTGTGATAATGTGATGAGGGTGATGGTGATGGTGATGATGGAGATGGTGATGGTGATGATGGAGATTATGGAGATGATGGTGATGATGGAGATGATGATGATGATGGTGATGATGGAGAAGATGGAGATGATGGTGATGGTGATGATGGAGATGATGGAGATGATGGTGATGGTGATGATGGAGATGATGATGGTGATGGTGATGATGGAGATGATGATGGTGATGGTGATGATGGAGATGATCGTGATGGTGGTGATGATGAAGGTGACGGTGATGATGGTGATGGAGATGGTGATGGTGATGATGGAGATGATGATGGTGATGGTGATGATGGTGATGAGATGATGATGAGACGATGGAGATGGTGATGGTGATGATGGTGATGATGAGATGATGATGGAGATGATGGTGGTTAGGATGATAGTAATATTGATGATAATGTTGATAATGGGATGATGCTGGTGATGATGACAGTGATGGTGAAGATGATGTTGATGATGATGGTGATGGTGAAGATGGTGATAATGATGGTGATGTTACTGATAAACCATTATTGATAAATTCCTCTGCTCCAGGGGCTTCTCAGAAAGACCATTTTGTGTTTCTGGTTTGCAACCTCAGTGGCATCACTCCTTGAGAAATGGAGGCCTGTTTTGTTTCTATCAGACTTATGCCCCTTGAACTATAGATATGGCTGATTCTGAAAATGTGACACGAATGAAGGATTATTAAGGGGTGGGCTTCATCTAAAACAGTATGTCACTATTCCAAATGGTGAATTAATTTACTTATTCAGTTGGCAAATACGTATCGAGTGCCTTCTGTGTCCCGGGCCTTGCTGAGAATAGAGTGGCAGACAGGTGTTTTCTCTGTCCTCACAAAACTTATCGTAAGGCCGGATTATGACAACACAGCAGGAGAAGTGTCATGGTGGGGCTCCCACGGGGGACCATGTGAACACATAAGAGAGGATTAGTGATACAATAGCGTGACACCCACGTTACCGTTCTTGCTCTAACTCAGTAGGTACTGCTTTCCTGCGGCCAGGTGTATGGACTCATTTCCTCCTTGCACCTGCATCCAGGTTACTTGCAGCCCCGGGACCTGCCCAGCGGGGGCGTTTTCCCCTTCATCCAAGGCCTTCTCTGCAACACCGGGGCCAGGTGCCGGAACACAAGCTACGTGGGGCCCAAGGAGCACCACTTCCAGTAAGAAGCACAGACACCTTTCAGAATCCGTGGGAAGCCAGGGCATAGAACAGGAGCGATGCTTTTAGTAACGCCTCGGTCATTTGGGACGGGTCGGAAGCCATGAGAAGTACAGACGTAGAGTTACAAGGAATCAGTTTTATTAAATTCAGACTCATATGATAGTGTCTTTCTACTGTTTAAGGACCAAAAAGCAGTTGCTGACTAGCAGATACTAGTTACATATAATGGTTTGTTTTCTTAGGTTAAGAATCTGACTTCAGAATGGCTTGTTTAGCCAACTGTTCATGTTGGTGCCAAGTGTTTGTTGGGGCCACCCACTGGGGTTTTCCTACTGTGTTGTTTTTGGCCTCAATCCTATTGTTCCGCAGCTGAGATAAAATGAAAACAGGGATCGTTTAGCTCTTTCTTTTCGGTCTGGCCAAACCTGGTGCCCTAGGGGACAGGCGTCTAGCTCTGACTCTCCATCTAAGCCACACCCGGGGTTGCCTGTGGCATCAGTTGGGATCAAAGACCAACAAGAGAAAGAGTGGGAGGTATTTTATGTAAGAAAAGCCAGAATAAAGGGGCATTGCCGCTGTGCCCCAGGGGTTGGAGAACCCGCCAGCTGACCGAAGGGTCATGGGTTCAATTTCCCGTCAGGGCTTGCACCTCAGTTGCAGGCTCGATCCCTGGCCCTGGTCGGGGCACGTGCGGGAGGCAACCAACGGATGTGTCTCTCACATCGATGTTTCTCTCTCTCCGTCTCTGAAAAGTAATGGAAACAATCTCGAGTAAGGATTAAAAAATAAAATAAAAAAGAAAAATTGAATTTATTTAAAGGAAAGGGGATGGGGCATCCAAAGGGAAGGGCTACCCAGCCCTGAGCCCGAGGGCACTGGGTCCAGGATGGCAGCAGAAGTGCACTTGGGACCGTGAGACAAAAAGGTCACAGAGGAGGCAACGGGAGAGCCGGGCTGGGCGGCTCTGGCCACTGGGAAGCCAGAGAGAAGGGGCCTGGGAGACAGGCTCAGGGGGTGAGCCTGGGACGAGCTGCTGCTGCCCATTGCTCCCCTGGTTGCACGTCTTGCGGGGTCCCCTCGGAGGGAAGAGGGGCGAAGGGAACGGCACAGCTGTGCTCCCCCGGGGCCTCGCAGTGCCTGAGGCCCGGGTGTGAGAAATGCCGGGTGAAACAGCGAAAACCTGTGAGGGCCCAGGACTGAAGACCGAGGACCGAGGGAGAGAAAGAAGGGCCAGGAAGGAGCGGGGCTCGCGCGGGGGCCAGCTGGCCTCTGGCTCTGACCCTGCCCCCCAGCCTTTCCCACCTGCTCTTGTGTTGGCTCAGTTGACCCTCAAGGCCTGAAGCAAACGCCCTATTCCTGTGTCTGGGCGACAGGTGTGTGAAGGCCCGTCTCCGTCCAAGTCCATTGAAGCATTTTCACGGTTAGTTAGGCCTGTGAGCGCCTCGCCCTCTATAATCCCCCGGGAAGGTTCGCAGGAGTCCCAGATTTCACCCGGCCTGGGCGCGGCTGTGAAAATCCGCTTCCTCCTTCCTGGTTTTGCGGCGGAGCTTCCCCCCCTCCCGGCTCTGGGGGGGGTTCGAGCTCAGACGTGACTCACGGGGGGTGTCTGAGGTTCGGTGGAAGCACAGGCCTCGATGCAGGACCGGAGGGTCCAGGCGCCGAAGCTCCCTGAGCAGAGCGGCCGCGCACAGCCCAGCCCACGGGATCTGAGGAATTTGGCAGTTTGACCGCGGCGGCCCCGTTTTATTTCTCACCCTCTTGCTCAGTCTCTGTTTTATAATTTTCCCGATTCCAGGGACCGGCTTCTTTACAGGTAGCAGAATCCTCTCTCTGCACCCAAAGCAGCAAAGAACGTGTTCCTTGTTCCTTATGTATTTATTTACTCATCTGGTTTCGATTTAGAGAGAGGAAGGGAGATAGAGAGACATGGGTGTCCCCCCAGGCACCCCAACTGGGGACCAGTCCCGCAACCCGGGGACGTGCCCTGACCGGGAGTCAAGCCCAGCGCCTTTGGGTGCACAGAACGGTGCTCTAACCACCTGAGCAACACCGGCCGGGGCGGCTTCTGGCTCCGTGAAAGGCTTTTCTGACATCGCGGGCCACTGACCTTGGGACTGACCTTGGAGACGGAATTGGGAGGGACCCACAGGTGTGCGTGACGCACAGCAGGCCGCGCCCCCAGCGCCCAGCTCCGCGGGGCCGGCCTCTCCCCCGAAGCCGAGTCTCAGCTGCCTCCCTCTTGGCACATTATGAGAACACGGGGGACCCGGTGTGTTCTGCTATATATTTTTTATTTGTAAATTTCCCCCCAAAAAAATTTGCATTTAGGCCAGTTTTCTTCAAGGGGTTCTTCCCGCACCAGATGAACGATTTGTGTGTGTTTTCCCCGCGTTTGGGTTGTCTCCCCACTTTCTTTCTTGTTGCCCCTGAAGCGCACGGTTTTTAATTCTGAGGAAGCCTCAGGCATGTGTTTCCTTTGGTTGCCTGTGTTTAGGCGTCGTCTCGAAAAGGCTTCGCCTGACCCCCAACCGTGAAGGTTTACCCCCGTTTTCTTCTAACGGCTTTGCCCTTTGGGTTCCACATCTGGGCCTGGGGTCCCCGTGAGTTGACCTCTGGGGGTGGCGTGAGGGGGGGGCCCATTCTTTGGCCTGTGGGCGTCCAGCGTTCCCCGGGGACTACATTTAATGTACAGATGAGTTGGGAAATAATTGATATTTTAACAACGTTGAGTCTTTTACATTTTTTTAAACTTATTGATTTCAGGGACAGAGAGGACGGGGGGGGGGACCACATGGGTTTGGTGTCCCTCCCATTTATTGGTTGATTCTTGCCTGTGCCCTGACCGGGGACTGAACCTGCGGCCCCCGCGTATCAGGGCGACGCTCTAACCACCTGAGCAACACCGGCCGGGGCACAGCCTCGGGCCTTCCAGGCCATGAGCACGCCGTAGCTCTCCATTTAATTACATTTTCCTGCCTTTCGGGATTCATTTTCTACTTTTACAGTTTGTTAAATCTACGTCTAAGTGGTTCCTGTGTCCTGGTATTTGTTTAAAAAAATTTTAAATATGCACAACCAGGCCTAGTGGTTTTTAGTGCACCCCTGAGACAGTCTCCTCACCTCCTCTCAGCCTGGGTGCGTTTCCTTCTCTTATTTCGAGTTGACTGGATCGTCTGCATTTGGGTCCCGCCCCGTGAGGTTTCGCTGCGAGGCCCGGGGCCCAGAAGGAAGTGTGGGCACCGCCCGGGGGCCTTTTCTTGCCTCTGTTCACCCTAATCTCCTCGCCCTGCCTCTTCTTTACAACTCCTTTCATTACCCAGCGAAAGACCAAAGACCCGGGCCTGGGAAGGAGGAAATGATCTCCCTCCAAATCCGATTACGGCCCTGGAATTTCTCCGGTTCACAGTCTCTCACGCATCAGTGTTTAACCCTGGATTTCCTGTGTATTTTTTCTGCCACTGTCTTCATTTTAGTAATAATAGTTCTTAATCCCATCTTAGGGACAAATGAAGGGCCTCCTGACATAATAATTGGAAAAGGAACATGAAACCAGTTCCTTTGACAGGAAACCTCCCTTCGAGGGGCCTCCCGTCTGGACTCTGATAATTCCGTGGCTCCCAGGGGAGTCCCGCGTGTGGGTGAAGCAGCAGGGCCTGCGTTTCCGTCCGCGGCTCCCGGGGGTCCTTTATGAAATGGTTATTTTGAACATTACAGACGCAATGACTGACGTTTTCATTGTGCTTCTGGAATCCCGACCCCTCCAGGCGAAGGCCGCGCACTTTCAAAGGTTTGGTTTGGGTGGAGCCTGGCGCAAGGGGACGGCCCCTTGCTCGGCTCTCTCGGCCTGGCCCTGGCCCGGCCGTATCCATCCTGTGGCTTTTAGANAGCCTGGCGCAAGGGGACGGCCCCGTGCTCGGCTCTCTCGGCCTGGCCCTGGCCCGGCCGTATCCATCCTGTGGCTTTTAGAACATTCTCTTGGGTTCTCTGGGCCTCATTTCTGCAAGTTTAATGGAAGACAACTTGATATTTGGTGTCAAGAGTCTTAAAAACGCCGAGGACACCTATTCCCATCAGGAGTTCTGCTGGCGACATTTCTTCTGTTTGCTTTAAGTTCTTCTAGGTTCCAAGCCACCGCCGCCCATCACAAGATCGAGGACGTGGGCTTCTTACAAGAGATGCAGGACCTGGCCGATGAGATTTGTGAGACGATGGACAAGGCAACTCACCTGAAAAAACTTTGGGTGGAAACACCCGAGGCTCCAGGCAAGTAAATGTCTCCCACTGTCAGCCCCTCACCCGGACACAGGCTTGGGCTGTGGGGACGCACAGTGTCCTTAAAGTCCTGTTGACAGGGTGGCCCAGGCTGTCCTCGTAGGGCCTAGAGAAGGCGCACCCTCCACGTGTGAGGCCCAGCGCGGAGGGGGTTTGTGGGGGGCGGGGCTGGACTCCCGCCACCTCCCCCAGGTGGCACCTGGGGCACAGCCTTCGGGGCTGCAGCCCATCCCTGCTCATCTGGGCAGGGCCCCCTCCACTCTGCCCTCCTTTCCTCTGTTGCCAGCTTCCTTCCTCATTCCCTCTCCGTTTTTAAATCTGACCCCGCCTTGCACACACACACACACGCACGCACACATGCACACACACGTGCACACACATGCACACGCACACACGTGTGCATGCACACACATATGCACACACATGCACACAGATGCGTGCACGCATGCACACATGCACACACATGCACACACATGCACACGCAGGCTGATCACTTGACTCCTGTAGACGCGGGTGGGTCTTTCTGTGTTAGCAGCACTTCGTGCTCTTTGATGCTGGGGCCTCGGGGGGGGCAGGTCGTTGCCTCTCTTCACACGGCTCAGTTGCTGCCTGCAGACTCCGTCCCTGCGTTGGGGTCACAGTGACCCTGTCCCCTCTACCTTCTTAAACACAACCCCATCCAGGGTTGCCAGGTAAACTATAGGACATTCAGTTAACTTTGAATTTCAGGGAAACAACAAGTACTTCTTTAGTATGACTATGTTTTTATTTGCTAAATCTGGCAACCCTGAGAACCCCCTTCCAATTTTTTTTTTTTTACAAAATTTTGTTTTCCTCTTATGGAGAAATACAAGAAATAGAACGTTTGGCAGGAAAAGGAAGGAGGTGACGTTATATGTTATCTCTGAGGGAGAAATGGGCACCTCTGTCCAGGGTGCAGTGGGGCCGGCCGACCGGACTAGCTTCAAACACGAAATGTTTGACAAAATTTGTTTTTCAAATGAGATTTTCTGCATCCTATTAAAGGGGGAGTAATGTTTTGAGAGCCAATCTCACTTGATTTTTTAAAGAAAATATGTCTGTATTGATTTCAGAGAGAGGAAGGGAGAGGGAGAGAGAGAGAAACATCGATGATGAGAGTCATTGATCGGCCGCCTCCTGCAGGCCCCCCACTGGGCATCGAGCCCCCAACCCGGGCCTGTGCCCTGACGGGAATCGAACCCCGATCTCCCAGACCCTACGTCGACGCTCAGCTGCTGAGCCACGCCGGCCGGGCTCATTTGATTTTAGTTTTGCACCATTCGAGCCAGTTCCCATGCTCAGTGTGAGAGAAAATCTCCTCTACTCACAACACGCGCCTGCGTTTTCTACACTAAGTGACTCCGGTTCTCCGCAGACACCCCCGGGGCTGAAAAATCACAACTTTGCTTTTGCCCCTTCAGCTTCTTCCTCCCTTTGCTTTCCTGTCTTTTCCCTTCACGTTCTCCGTCCGCCCCGAGCGGTCACAGTGCCGGTGGAATGAGAGATTCATCGAAGTATAATTTTCCTCCAAATTGCGGGAATCTGGGTCACCGGTTTCCCCCAGGAATTCTCTCAATACCAACGCGCTCTGGAAGGAGAGAGGCTGTTGACGCCCGGCCGGCCTGTCGTCCGACGGGGCGGGGACCCCGTGTCCAGCCGTTTGATTTCAGAGCTGAAACAGGCACCCGGCGGACGCGTTCTGGCTGCCGGCGGAACTAACGTGTCCGAAATCTTCTTTATCGTAGGCTCTCCTCAGGGCTCCGGTTTCTTGTCGGTAAGTATCGTCACGGAGGCTTGAAGCGTGGTCGTCAGAGGCGGGAAACAGGTTTCAGCTCCTGGTTTATCTTCCGAAGCAGCAGACGGGCTCTGAGCCTGGGGGGGCGCACGCCCGGGGAGACGAGAGGGGCTGGGAGCAGCAGCTCCGTGGCCTCGGCCAGCGGGTCCTGCCCTCGGCCAGCGGGTCCTGCCCTCGCCAGCGGGTCCTGCCACCACCATCCGCGCCCCGTGGCCATTAGAAGGGGCATCTCTGCTTCTCCGAGTCTCATTCCCTCCCCACCCGCCTGCCGCCCCCATAGGCAAAGAAAACCTGGCCTGACCTTTCCTATTCCGAGGATGTGTTGGCAAAGCACTCGCTTAGGCGTCGTGTTTTATGAACGTTTCTCCAGACTGAAATTTTAGTGGTTGTGCCACCAAAACCAGCTCTTCGGGTGGGTGGTGGGGCCGTGTGTGTGCAGGAAGCATTCAGTTACCGACACGGCGTCGCTCAGGGTTCGGTTCAGCTGCTAGAACAGAAAAAAACCCACAAAAAACACCAAAATTACGAACGCAGACGGCCGCGTCTCCGTCCCTGTCTGAGCTTTCGCAGCACTTAAAACCCAGCCTCGCAGAGCATTTTAAAATCTTGCCTGTCCACCTGACGGGCGTATCAGGCAGCCTCCCCCCAGGGGCTCTAGTTTCTTGCACCTTTGCGGCGACCCCCCCATCATTTAATTGATCAACAACACGGAAGAGGGGAACCCCTGGTGTTTTTCCGCCAGGCAGACCTCAGCACGACCGAGGAGGTGATTTCGACGTTGGAAAGCCTCCACCGCCAGCCCCGGGTCTGGGACTTTCTACTCTCACTGCCCAGGCTCCACGCAAACGGCGCCGGCGCGGAGGAGGGCCCCCGGGGTGCAGAGCGCCTCCTCCAGGCAGCCCTCAAGTAAGACGCAAGGAAAGCGGGACTGAGGGTGGGGGTGCGGGCGTTTCCGCCTCACTTTTTACTGGGAAATGTATGCGTCTGAGCAGTTGTTTGACGCCAGGAAAAGTGCAGAAGGAGGTGGTCCTGAGGTGGCTGCAGCTCCTGCGTCTCCACGGGGCCCTCACACCCCCGAGCCAATGCTGTTCCGAGCACGGTCTCCTCGATTTAAGTCGTTTAACGTGAGGCCGTGAACAGTTCATGGGCCCCCACAGCCTCCAGTGGTCGTGTTTACGGCTGCGTAATATTCCACGTGGAACCACGTGGGCGGAGGGCCCGCTAGTGGGGACGATGCCTGAAGGGCCAGCATCCGGGATTTTAGGTTTTACACCTTTGACCTTTGCTTCAAGACAGACAAATTCATTTATGCGTTTTCTGTTCCATTAATTTTTTTCTTATTTCATGAATTTCTCCTTTTATCTTTATTATTTCCTTCCTTCTACTAAATTTAGTTGGATCTTCTAGCTTCTTGGTTTTCAGATTTTCTTCCTTTTTAATAGATGCTTCCAAGGCCCCCGCGTCCCCGGGACACGGAGCCCTGGGTTCCCTCCGCCACGGTCATAGTCGCAGCTTTGTCAGCAGTTTCTAAGATTTTCTAACTCGAAAGTCTTCTCGCACTTACTGTGATTTCTTCTTCGACTGGTCGTTGTTTAGAAGCAAATTGCGCAATTTCCACGGAATTTGGGGGCTTTTCGAGTTCCTTGAAAAACGCTGATTTCTAGTTTTATTTTAGTGAGAGGACGCACTGAGTGTTTTAGGGTTTTGCGTTTGGCGAGAGGAACTCGACGGCTCACGCGGGCGACCGTGGCAAACGCAGGTGCTCGTGGGAGGAAAGCGAGCTCTGCGGGGGGCAGGGGCGCATGTGCCTCCACTGGGCCCTGACACCCTCCAAACGCCCACGTTCATTTAACCCCTGTTGGGAAGACACGTCGTCTCGCAAACATTTCACAGCTTTTCCTCTAAATAAATCTGAGTATTATTCTGAAAATGGGTAGGTGGGACTTTCCTTGAGTTTGTTTGTTTCTTCCTGACGCTAACAGCTCTGCTTCGGCCGTAGGGTCTTCAGCTCCCCGAGGGGCCGTCCAGCGGCGGGGGGAACATCGCAGGCCCTCGAGGACGGGCCAGCGGACTTTCTCCTGTTCTCCGTGGACTTTCTGGGGAAGCTGTTGCTGCCTGACCCTCTCCGCTCCCCCGGCGACCCCACGGAGACCGTTCTGAACGCGGGTCGTTCGGGGGACCACCGCTCGAGGGCTTTAGAGAGGGAGCCGCCCGGCGCTGACCCTCAGGGGCTTCGGGAACTTGGCAGAGAGACAACCGAACACACGCAGACCCTCCGGGAGGAGGCGTCGGGCGCTATTTCGAGATTTGCAGACACGGCGCTTTCTGCGGTCAGCCCCCGGCTCCTGGCGGTGCGGGCCGGCGGCATTTCCAAAGGGGAGCGCGCGCCCCCGGAGCCCCCGCCTGCGCCTGCAAATCCGTCTCTCCTGCGCAATGAGAGGAGCCTGGGGGAGACCTGGAGCTCCTCCCGGGTGTTCCGCCCGGATCGGCCCGAGTCCCCGGCTGTGACGACGGGCTTTGTCCATCTGAGCGAAGCTGTAATCCGGGGCCTCTGTGACCTGGGGCTTCTGCGGCCGGAGCAGGCCTCGGGCGCCCTGGGCGCGGTCGCCGCCGTGAGGAACGCCTCCGGCCTTTTCTCAGCCCTCCCTGGACCCCAAAGGCAAGACTTTGATGACATTTTGACCGACATATATCGAAATGTCTTTAAAGGCCGAGATCCGGCTTTTCTTCTGCAGGTTTGTTCTTCCTATTACCAGTCCGTCGGCGGATCCTCGGGCACCCCGAGCGGCGGTTCTCTGCTGTCTTTCGTCGCTCACATCTCGCAGCACGTCCTGGAGATCGCGACGCAGTTTAACGCTCAAAACACCAGCAGAGCATTTGCGTTTTTACACGAGACCGCGGAGCTCCTCGCGGGGCTTCCTGAGGCGTCTCACTGCCAACAGCTGCTCCCCGTTTTCAGCTTCGTGGAGCTTCAGGCCGGGTCCCCGGTGTCCTCGGAGGGCCCAGGGTTGGACGCGGTCCCCGCTGCCCTGACCGGCCTCAAGCACCTGCTCCGCGTGGACAGAGGTGTCCGCAGGTCATTGTTTCAGCACCTGAACCGGCTCCTCAACAGCTCGGCGGGAGTGCCCGTGGGTGACGGGTCCCTCGCTTGGGGTGATAACGGCTCCTCTCCTGTGAATTGCTCAGTAGGTGGGGGGCCCCCGATTACTCCCCCGTGGGCGCAGATTCTTTCAAACCTCTCTGCGGACGGCGGCGTGTCCAGCGGTCGGAGGGCCCTTCACTGCTCCATTTCGTGGCTTCGGGCGTGGACGGAAATCTGGGCAAGCGTGGCCCAGGCGCTGGAGCTGGACACGGACGTCTTCACGCCCCTTCGCGCGGGCCTCACCCAGCTTCTGCGTGACCTGGGGATGGAGGCGGGAATCCCCCGGAGCTGCCCGCGGGCCCTCGCTGAAGGTATCGCCGCCTTCATGGGGCGAATCAACAGCGTCTCCGGAGAAGGCGATTCTCAAGCCGACCTCCTGGCTCGGCCGGTAAACCAAGAGCAGCCGGCGGATTCCTCAGCTGCGCCTTCGCTTTTGGAAAGCGTCCTGGTTAATTCCATCAGCGGCTCTCCAGGCGCGGCCGGGAACGTAACTGACCCCGACCTTCCGACCGCGAATCCCGTTACCCTCACCTCGAGCCAGGCGCAGTCAGGAAAGGGCGCGGGGCCCCGGCTCCCCCCAGGAGGCGTGGCGGAGTCCGCGGGGTGACCTTGGGAGACGGTCCTCACCTTGCTGGGAAAGGAAGCTTCTGAGGACGGGGCATCTCTTCCTCTGAAAGTCCTGCCTGACTCGACTACGACCTTTCTTAGCAGTTCCACAGTAACTGCGGGTAAGCACGTGCTTCCTCCAGGTTTGCGTGATTAAAAATGAAATTTTCTCGCACAAAAATATTATTAAAATAAAGCATAAAAAGGAAAAGCCATGCTATTGTGGTTAACAACAGTGCGGCACTCGGCTGCTCTGAGGTATTGGGGGTGAAGGAGGCGGGTCCTCAGATCCTGGCTGCCAAACCCAGGAGGAGGGAGAGAAACCTCTGTGGTCTGGGTTCCGCCCGGACCCTGCGCCCCGGACCCGCCGCCTGGGACCTGCAGGCCTCCTCCTCTGGCTGGCAGTTCCCAAGCTCCCTGCCCCCAAGTAAACCTCTTTCTGGAGGAAACCTTGGACGGTGCGGGTCTCAGGGAGGGAGCGGGTGAGCAGAGACGCCGTCCCCTGGGCTCGCCATGCCCTCAGGAAATCACGGGGTTCCTCCGGAGGAGGTGGCGTCTATGAATCCCGTTTTCACAGTAATAGCCCCAACGTTCACTATTTTATTATTTCTTCCTCTCGTCGTTTCTCAGACGTGAAAGTAAAAGACCTGATGCGGAACATCACCGCGTTGACCGAGGAGCTCCGATCTCTCCACATCTCAGATGGAACGGTCAACAGCATTCTGGAAGCAAATATTTCCCGCTCACAGGTACAGTGCGGCTGCTCCGGCCCTCGCCCCCCCACCCCCGGCTGGGGCCGTGCCCGTCTCCCCAGGCCTCCCACCGCGGGGCCGGGCGGCTGTGATCGGCGTCGCTCGGAGGCAGAAAGGAACCGAAGGGGGTCCTTGTGATGCCACGGCCCTGGGGTCCTTCGTTCCACAATGCTGGGGCTAGAAAGGACGAAACTGGTGAGGACACTTACTCCAGGGGTTCTCAAGCCCCAAGCACGACACCCCGACGTATCTGCAGATAGGAACACGTGGGTGGAGGGCACCTTGCAGTCTGGCCTGTAGTGGGGCTGTGGTGACAGCAATGAGCAGCGACGGGCGGAGGCACCGCCGGGGCAGCTGAGATGCACGGTCAAGGCCACGCAGTAGGGGGTGCGGGACACGCGGCGTCCACGGGGCGGGAGCAGAGAACACCGGGGTCCTCAGCGGGTGCTTTCTAGCTGCCCTTCCAGCACTTCTGGCCGGTCAAGTGCTTACGTTCCCTACGGAGAACCTTCCAGAAGGAGATGGCTCTCACGTGAGCGTTTTTATTCACAAGCCACCGGGCCCCGATAGGCATCGAATTACTTCACGCCGATTCTGGGTCATCGGTTCTAAATTCGAGCCCCGGCTGGCAGAGCAGCTGGTGAAGAATCAGTCTGCACCCAGAAAGGGGTAGATTGAAGCTGGGAGCCCGAAATTCAAACGGCAGTGTCACCAGGCTGTTTACGGTCACAGAGCGTCTGCCCTGAAGGAAAGACCCCGAAAGGCGGCTCCTTGAGCCCACAGGTGCCGGGGGGCGGGGGCCAGGTGGGTGAGGAGGGCGCCCCGTGCTGTCCAATACGCAGCTGTGATCGGGCCCGGCAGCGGCTGGCTAATGAAGAGGCTGACTGCGCGCTGAGACAGGTCGGAGCCCACTTCCCGGCCCCTCTCGGGGGCGAAGTCTCCTGGTCGTGGGTCGGAGGCTGCAGCCTGACTGAGCGAGTGGCCACCAGGTGGCGCTGATGTGCTGCCAGGGAGGCTGTGCTCTGGGGGCCGTGCAGAGGGGCGCAGCCTGGGGGGGGAGCGGCTGCCCCCTGCTCTCCTGCCCCCGTGTTTCTCCCTCTGCCTCCTCGACAGTGGACCACTGTGGTCAGCTAGTCGTTGGACAGTTAGGTCATCGGGAGGGTGTTAAAAAAAGCTTGCGTTCCTGCCACTCAAACAAACGATGCCCCTGCTCGCTTTGATCATGAAGGTCGTCCGGGAGCCCAGATGCGCCCACAGACCTGGGCCGTGCGTTCACGGTGGTTCGGAGGTGGCCCTCGGGGGCTGTGGTGTGTCTAGACTGTCGGGTGGATGGCCCGCAGCACCGTGCGTGTTACTTGTGGTCCCTGTTTGATGCCTGTCTCCCTGGACTTCACTGTACGTCCAGTCAGTTGTGAATTCATCACGTCGGGTCCTCAGTCCAGCTGTTGGTCACCCGCAGGGAATACTTCTCAGGGGCCCTGGGGCCCTGGAGGCAGGGCAGGGACTCTCATTCACACGTCTGCTTAACATCCCCCTTTCTGTTAGTGTGCTTGCAGCAGCTGGGGCCAACGTCCCTGCTCCGAGGAGCAGGCGTTCTCCGGGGCGGCAGGTTGCTTAAGTTAGGTGACATTTCAGAAAGATTTCGTTCAAGATGCTCGAAGTAGAGCAGAGGTGGGCCCCGTGTGCCTCCAGGTGGACCCTCAGCCTTGGGGAGACGGGCTCGCAGGGCTCCTCCCTGGGCGTGGGTGGGGCTGCACCTGCCTCAGGTGCACTCGCTCTGACCCTCCCGCTCCGGGGCAGGTCCTGTCCGGGGCCCTGACTGTGGCCTTGTCGGGGAGATGCGATCAGGAGGTGCTCCGTCTCCTGCTGGCCTTTCCCGAGGATGGGACGTCTCGCTTTGCCGCGAGGGAGCTGTGCGGCCTGCCCCGGGCCACGGTGTACTCTCTGCTGGTGTCGATGAGCCGGAACCTGGACCTGCGCAGCTTCATCTACAAGGTAGGGGGTGATGGCTGGGGTGCCTGCGTGACGTGGGTGGGGGCCACGTCCATGGGTGGCAGACAAGTAAACTGCAGGGAGTCCCAGGCGGCCTCGGGCACCCTCTGTCTCCCGTGTGCTAACTCCGGGTGGGGCTCGGAACCAAGGGGCATCCAGGGGACCTTACAGGGGTCCTCGGGTCAGGCCCCTCAGGGCATGTACAGCATTGGTGGTGTCAGCATGGCCAACACAGAAGGTCCAGCAGTGAAAACATCCCCTGAGGCCCCGTCTGAGCCACGTGGACTCTGATGCTGAGGACGTGGGAGAGCACAGCAGGGACGGCCCACGTTCAGGAGAGAGCGGGAGCCAACAGCCATGTTCTCGCTGCTCAGCCGACGCACTGAGAGTGAAAACAGGGCCTCGGTCATTTCCTGTTGCGTTTTCCTTCCAGGTTCTGATACCGGCAGAAGCCAGAGGCATGCTCGGCTCCCTGTCGGCCGTGGTCTCCCGGCTCAGCCACCTGCTCCCCAAGGCCAGCCGCGTCCTGGACCACCTTCCCGAGACCCTCCACGCGCTGAACGCCACGGCCTGGCTGGACGCGCCCGACTCTCCACAGGTGTCTCATTGGGGCCCCCGGGACGTGTCCGGATGGGCTGGGCCCCTATTCCGTCGGCCTGTACCCCTCTTCCAACATCTAACACCCGCCCAAGACAACAGAATGTAGGAAAAGGAAAACCTTTTAGTGGCTCCGAGGCAACAGCATGACCAGGGGCCAGTCCTGCCCAAGAACTAGGGGGAGTGACTTTGGTGACCTGCCTGCCCCCCGAGTGGAGTTTGGGGCCAGTTCCCTCGTAGTCTGCGACGCCGGAAATCGCCAAGTCAATTATTAGCACAGATGAGATTCTGAGGCCTATCGATTTAATTCAGAGAGCAAACTGCTTTCAAAAATCTTAAACCATTTATCTACATATCGATGATTGGCTTACAAATTACAGACCATTTCTGCAAATACAAACATTAACTTGAATGATGTTAGTGAGGTGACATTTGTCTTTGCTTGAACCCTCTCTGCCCGGGATGGGACCAAGGAGAGGGGTGTGTGGGGGGAACGCAGACAGACATGGGGGTGCAGGACGTGGCCGACGGTGGGGCCCTCGGGCTGTCTCAGGGGTGGGGCCTCCCGATGCCCACCAGCCGAGGAATTGTTTGGGAAGATGTTCAGTGTCGGGGCACTTTGGTAGCAGAGACCAAACTGAGAGTATTAGTTAGTCTGAGTTAGTGATTTTTGTGGGTTAACAGTTCATCGCTGGACAGCACTGGGCTGGTGTGTGTGACATTTTTGTCTCCCACTGGGGGACAGGCCAGCAGACTCCCTGTGGCGGTTGGCGTGGCTTTCCCAGGACAGGCCACGCGGGGGCTGCACACCTGTGCCTTGCTGGATGTGTGTCTTCAGTGGGAGGAGGGGCCACACTCCCGCAGGCCTCGGAGGCATCGTTCCCTGTCGCCGTTTCCCTGAATGTGTTTGTCACACGCTCTCAGGCTCCACACGGTGACCAGGCCAGGAGTTCAGCCTTTGGCTCCTTCCAGTCGGTGATGAAGATGGTCTGTAAGGAGCAGGAGTCTTTCCTCAGCAGCTCGCACATGCTCCTCGACTTGCCCAGAGTTCACGAGCTCGTGGGAGACGACAAAGAGAAATTCAACATTCCTGAAGGCTCAAGTAAGAAAACAGTGATTAATATTTGTTTAGATTGATTTGCATATTGACCATTAGCTTTGCTTTGTCCGGACTACTCTGCGTGGAAGGCGGGCAAGGAATTTCTGCTCCACCCTCTAACTTCTAGTCTTCCTTTTTATAAGAATTTTAAAAATTACTTTAGTGGCAGTTGACATTCAATATTATATCAGTTTCAGGTGTACGGCATAGTGGTCAGACGTTTATGTAATTTTCGAGGTGATCCTCCCTCTGCCCCCGTAAGTCTAGCGTCTGCCTGGCAACATAGATGCAAAAATCCCCAACAAAATATTAACAAACCGAACTCAGCAATATATTAAAAAGAACATACACTGTGATCGAGTGGGAGTTATTCCTGGAATGCAAGGTTGGTTCAATACCTGCAGATCCGTCGACCTGATTCATCACATAAACAAAATGAAAGATTAAAATCATATGATCGTATCAATAGATGCGGAAAAAGCATTAGACAAAATCCAAACCCATTCATGGCGAAAGCTCTTAGCAGTGTCCTTCCTTCTGGGTAAGGCTGCCGAATGCCCGTGTGGCGGCTGTGCACGTGTGGGTTACGTCCCTTCTGAAATCAACATCGCCACCGTCCGCATTAAGCTTGTACTTTAAACTGTAAGTTGTTAAAATATCAGCCCGGGCAAGCTCTCTGATTCATGCTTTAACACTCGTTACGTAGTCATGCTCTTAATTTATATTTTATGGGCTTATTTCTATTGGTTTTATAGTAATTTTTGAATAAAATACCTTGTTTTTCTTTTCAAACAGTGAGTGTGGCAGGTGAACTTAACACTGGAAATAATCACAGCCCTGCCCTTCATACCCCGAGCGTCACGAATCAGGATATTGAAGCTAAGATAGTATTTCTATTTTAAATAGTTTCTTCAGGGGCAAAGGAACTCATGACATGGAAGCATTCGTGGCTAGCTGAAGACCTGATCGTATATATATTTTAAACATGTTTTTATTGATTTTAGAGAGAGAGGAAGGGAAAGAGAGAGAGAGGAACATTGATGAGAGAGAAACATCAATCAACTGCCTCCTGCACGCCCCCTATTGGGGGATCGAGCCCACAACCCGGCCAAGTGCCCCGACCGGGAATCGAACCAGTGACCTCTCAGTGCATCAACTACTGGGCCACACCGGCTGGCTAGACCTGGAATCTCTGATTACTAACCTTTATGGCGACGAAGGCCCTGCTTTCATTCGGCTGACACAAGCAAACCTCCCGTGGCGCCATGACTAGGATGAAAGCCCGTGAGGAGTGGAGGGTTTGAGCGAAAACCAGGCGATTCCACATATCACAGTAATAGGCTCCATAGCTCTGTACAGTGCCGCGAAGAACATTCAGTCGCCCTTTATGAGGCTCATTTTATTTAAAAAGTCTAATTCTGGTCCCCAACCTGTGCGGTTGAAATGAAGATTTTTCTAGACTAGAAGCCAGGTGCACTCCTGTGTTACTGCTGCTCCGTCGGCAGGCGTCCCTGTCACCATTCAGGGCTCTCAGCGATACCTCGGTGAGCACCCCGAAGCCGCACTTCCCTTTCTCTCAGATCACTGACCTGAACGTGGTGCCTTGAAAGTTTCTCAGGAGACAAGAGCCACTAAACACCGTCAAGAACAATATTCCTGAACCCGCCGCCCAGATGCAGACCTGTGTCAGTCACTCACTGAAAGTGCGGCGCATGGACGTGGAAATGAATTTCCCCACTCCCCTGGGCATCCTGTCTTGGTAACATGTTTTTTGTTTTTTAATCACCACAGCTCCGTTTTGCTTGAAGCTTTATCAGGAAATTCTACAGTCTCCAAACGGTGCCTTGGTGTGGTCCTTCCTAAAACCGATAATACACGGGAAAATACTGTACACGCCGAACACCCCGGAGATGAACAAGGTCATTCAAAAGGTGAGTCCAGCAAACGAGGGTCTGAGGGGCCATACAAGCAACAGAGTTAAAATATTGACCATAACTGTTATGAGGTTGGATGACCTGTGGTTTTCTTAGACTGATGACAGTCTATTCCGGCCAGATTTCCTTGTTTCTGTTCAAGTTGGATTTGTGGTCATTCTCTGGGGGGACACTGCAGGCAGGAGGTGCCATCTGCAGCGGCTAGTCTGGTGAGGACAGTCAGACAGACAGACAGGAGGACCGGACAGGGAGCCCGGGCACACTGCACATGCCCTTGGAGATGCATTTACCAGAAGTCTACCCTCCCCCAGTGAGGTGACCGTGACCTGGGTACATGGCCCACGTGAGCCCTTCCTCCAGCCCCGGACCCGGGAGTCACAGTCAATGCTTCTGTGGGCACCGCCTTGTGGCAGAGCTGGCTGGACACGGGGCTCCTGGTTTGTGTCACTTCCCCCGGAGAGTGTAGATTCTGCTCCATTGTCCCCTGACCCTCACTTCTGCAGTGCTCACCTTGCTGTCCAGAATAGCAGGTGCCTCCGACACCTCTTGGCTGCATAAAGCAACGTTTGCCTTCACCGTCTCCTCAAAACTACGTCTGTAGCTTCTCTCTGCACCTGTTTTGAGACCCAGCTCTGCTGAGCAGAGAGCAACGCCGGCCGTGTGCTCACCCACTGCTGCTGCGGGCCAACCAGCATGTGGCTTTTGTAAAATAAATCGGTATAAAAATACGCACTGACCCACAAGATAATGCCCATGCCTTTCTTCTCAGGGGGCCCCAGGGGAACAGGTGGGGGCCCCAAGGGGAACAGGAAGGACATACTGTAGTGGACAGGTAGGTGGGTGGAAGAGTCGGGACGAGAGGTCTCAGGGCCACGCCTCCGACACGAGGGCACTGGAGTGAGTGGGTCACCTTGTCTGGGGAGGTGTCACCAGCCTGCAGGTGGAAACAGCAGACCTTTGCTCTGATGGCCAGTCACCTCCATGCCCTTCTCCTTTTAGCTCCACAGGGTGGAGGATTCTTCCAGCTGAAACAGAGACAACCAAATACAATTTATCTTGCAGGCGAATCACACGTTTGTGTTTGTGGACAAGCTAAGGACACTATCAGAAACGTTGCTGAAAGTAGCCGGCAGCTTCCAGAGTGGTGGGAGTGGCCAGATGCTCGAGTGGCTGCAGGTGACATGGTCCTTCGCCACAGGGCCTGGGGAGCAGGTGCCGGGCGTCTGAGAGAAGGGTCTGCGGTCCCCCCCGGGTGTGGTTTTCCCAGTGGACTAATGGTATTGACGTGACACTGGACGTGTGTGAAAGCTCTTTGCAAACGATCAAGTATTCTGCCCACCATGCAGGGTGTTATTGATACTTTATTAATAGTGACCCGAGCTTTATATTCCATGTTAGCTTAGTGCTTTCTCGGCGGTTTGTGTACTTTCTACTGTAGGTATGTTAAAATGATCAATGGTCATTTCCTAATATTCTGTGTTGGAAACATAATATATTCCAATAAGTGGGCTGGGTTTAAAATGACCGACTCCTTTGGGCCTGTGGCCATCGACTGCCAATGTGTAGTCAAGGGAGGTCACATGATAACCTCGGGGCGTTTGTTAGCTCTGACCTGCTCGTGTCTGAGAGGTGAGCACACAGGCCCTGTCTTTATTGTTATTTGGTTCATCTCATGCCCCAGGTGAGCAGTTCACCTGAGTGAGAGCTGGGACTCAGGAGCTGGGATGTCTGGTTTCACTCCAGCCCCTGTGCTGTGTGATCTCGGGCTGGTCACTGGAAGTCTCTGTGCCTGGGTTTCCTGCCTGTGAAGTGAGGGAGTGAAGCACACGGAGCAGAGCTCGGCAGGCAGGAAATGCCTCCATGTCTGGTCTTTCCGGAGCGGAGGCCGGGAGGGGATAACATGTGTGAGATTCTTATGGGAATCCCTGGCTGTTAGGGCTGAAGAGGGGGGAGCCTGGAGGGGGGCTCGAGCACCCCTGTCAGGTGGTGATGCAGGTCTGACCTGGGGGAGAGGAAAGGGAGGGATGTCGCACGCGCAGTCTCTTGTGGGTGGCAGACACCGCGAGTGTGCGGGGCAGAATGCACGCAAATGCACAGGCTCCAAATAAAGACCAGGTTCCTGAGGTTGAGGAGAGTGGCCGGGGTGGGGGGGCACAGCCCACAGGGCAGGGGTCAACGACGAGGCCGGGGTCAGGAAGGAGGAACGACGCAGGTGACCATGTGCAAGGAGCTCCCGGAGGCGGTGGGAACGTCACAGGGTTAGAGGGTTTGGGACAATCTGGCCCTTTCTTCGGGTTTGTAACCGGACCTGTCTTTGTCACTGGCCTGCGGAGAAGGCAGCTGGAGAGTCCAGTTAGAAAATCTGCCCGAGTCCGCGCTTCACTCATTCTGTTTTCGGTGTCAGTGCACAATTACGGGTAACACCCACGTCGGCATAACTGCTGCTGCTGCTTTCGAGATAAAGCCCGGGTCGCGTTGTCTGTGACTCACCGGGACGCTCAGAACTTCTGTTAAGACGATTCACTTGACGTGCCCTGTTCTTGTGCAACAACGAGACTCCGAGGGAACCAGGGGGGATCGTGGGTAAGGAGAAGCGAGGCCGTGGCCGTGGTTAAACTGTGTTACTTCCCTCCAGAAAGTCCTGGAAAGCGCATTTATCAGGCGCTTTGTGGAAAACCAGCTACACATCGACGTGGACACACTGATGGAGAAGCTGCAGACGTTCAGTGAGTGTGAGCGTAGGTGTGAGTGTGCGAGACACTGAGCCTCCGCGGGGTCCCGTCCAGCCTCCAGGCTGAGACGCCTCCGCTCTACCCTGCTGCTCAGATGCACCCCCTGGGGCAAGAGAGCAGCGGGGTTGCCTCCCTCAGTTCCCCCCAGAACGGTCTGCAGACTTAATGTTGCAGAGCGAACGGCCTTCACAGGCCCGGGCTCCAGTGACCGGGCGTTGCTTCGGGTCCCGCGCGTCCGGGCGGAACGTTCCCTTTCTTGCTGCTCCCTGGGTGACAGCTGCCCTCCGCGGCCCAGGCTGGCCCTCTGCTTGCTCCCTACACCCCCACTGCCCCGTGCCCAGCCTTTGCTGATTTAACCGTTTCTTTTCACTTACATGTAAGTGTCAGTATCACGGGAAATGTATATAAAAGGTGGACACTCAGCCTTAGCTGGTGTGGCTCAGTGGTTAGAGTGTCAGCCTGGGGACCGAAGGGTCCTGGGTTCGATTCTGGCCAAGGGCATGTACCTCAGTTGCAGACTCAATCCCCGGACCTGGTCAGGGCAGGTGTGGGAGGCGACCCATCTGTGTGTCTCTCTCCCGTCGATGTCTCCCTCTCCCCCGCCCTTCCATTCTCTCTAAAAAAGCAAAGGAGAGACACCGCGTACACTCAGCCGATGTGCATATGAACGAAACGGGACTCTCTGGAGTGACTTCCTCTCGCAGGAATTTAGCTACACGTCCCGTGCCCTGCACGGTGTCTTCCGTGGGGTGGCCGGTGCTGTGGGGGGAGCTGCCACGTGCCCGTGTTCACTGTCCCCAGCAGGGAGCCTGGGCCGGATGCTGAGCCCCACCGGCACCGCCCGCCTCCTCTCCCTGGGCCGGGCCGTGGTCAACCTCTCCTCCTGCGTGGAGCTGAACCGCTTCCAGGGGCTGGAGTCTGTCGCCGCCCTGGAGGCCGCCGCGCTCAAGCTCAGGCAGGAGAACAGTTTGCTGGCCAGTAAGTATCCGGTGACAAGCGGTGCCCGCGGGCCACGTGCCAGCGTATCGCCTCTCCCCGAACCCAGGGGCCCCACGCAAACACCTCACCTCGGCCTGACGTGGGGGCCCCCTGCCCGTCTCGCCCTCAGGCGTCATCTTCAACATCTCCTCCGCGGGCAGGGGCTCGGGAGCGGACGGGCCCCCACTCCCGCCCCGCGTGGCCTACACGCTCCGCACCAGCGTCCTGCACAGCCTGCGCACCGACCGGGCGAGGAGCCCGCTGTGGAAGTTCCATCCCCAGAGCCTGCCGGCCGAGGGCTTCAAGTACAACTACGTGTTCGCGCCGCTGCAGGACCTGATCGAGCGAGCCCTCCTCCTGGCGCAGGCCGGGCGGGAGGCCGCGGGGCCGGCCACGCAGGCGCAGGCCATCCCCTACCCCTGTCACCACAGCGACCTGTGAGCACCGGGGTCCCAGCCGGCCGTGTCCCCTCACACGCGAGGCCCTGAGCGGGGCATGTCCTGGGCTTTCCTGCAGTCCCTGCCCCAGGCCCTGTCCCTGCCCCTGTCCCTGCCCCAGGCCCTGTCCCTGCCCCTGTCCCTGCCCCAGGCCCTGTCCCTGCCCCTGTCCCTGCCCTAGGCCCTGTCCCTGCCCCTGTCCCTGCCCTAGGCCCTGTCCCTGCCCCTGTCCCTGCCCTAGGCCCTGTCCCTGCCCCTGTCCCTGCCCTAGGCCCTGTCCCTGCCCCTGTCCCTGCCCCAGGCCCTGTCCCTGCCCCTGTCCCTGCCCCAGGCCCTGTCCCTGCCCCTGTCCCTGCCCCAGGCCCTGTCCCTGCCCCAGGCCCTGCCCCAGGCCCTGCCCCACACCCTGTCCCATCCCACATCCCACCAGAGGGCCTGGAAGGTGGGTAGTTGCTTGGTGACAGCAGCTGTGGGGGGAGTAGAAGGAGCAGATTCATCACATTTTATAATCCCCTCCTTTCTCATGCCTGCTGGCTGGTCCCTAAAGGAGTAAACGGGAACGGAGACAGAGAGAGGGCCGGACGGCTGTGGTCCTTCTCCTCAGCAGCCTCTGGGCTCTGCCTGGGCCTGGGCCTGGGGTCCTGGGGGCAGTGGAGAGGGGTTGGGGG